TTAGCTTCTTGGAATTACTCTTTACTCTTCTGATGTTCGGTATTTATATCATAAGTAAACGAGAGTATTTAAGGGAGTAATAATTTGTTTCGGAACCTAATGACTTGCTCCCAGATACAATAACTATCACGACCAAAAATTCACTAAAGGTCATAATGGCGCCTAACGCCACCGTCAAACAAGCCAACGGTGGTTGATGAACTTATTTGCTCATTTTATTTCCTTTGAAATTATAATTATCCTTGATTAAATAATATGTAATGAAATATACACGGCGAAATGATAATATTTACGTGAACTACAATAGTGAATAACTAGTAGGAACCCCCCGAAAATCCGGTGTCACAGGTGCATGTGCATCTACTAAGGAGAACAATAGTAATACAACATCCGTTTGGAATACAAGTGAGACAAAAGAATATAAATAACTCTGATGAAGACTCTATATGGTGTGAATCGTAACATGAAATGCAGTTCACCATAAAGTCACCGCAATAGCCACGCCTCTATACCTAGAGGACCATTGGAAACATATATCTACCTGCACAATAAGTGCAGTATGTGTAGCATGAGTACGTAAATCAACGCGTACTTAGTAAGTATCTAGTCTAATCCCAGAGAAGTAGTGACGAGGGTAGACATCGACACTTACTAGAGGTCCAATAAATCAAATACAGTAAGACGTAAACAGACGTGAGGCAGAGTAAACAAACGAAATAATCAAGTATAAATACGTAGTACAAATCCTCCTCTGAACAATGAACTCAAACTCTCAATTAGCAGTTCCCTCCTCAACCGAAGTATATATATAATGGACCTCACAAATAGGTGGTCACAATTCAAGTCGGGAGAACTCACAAATTCACTGGCTTCTTGTCAAATATTACGCACGATTCCATAAGAGTATTTATAAAAATGTTGAGGCGTACAACCTGATCCCATTATATTGTGTGCACTGTCGAGGGTTGAATGACACGAACCATAAATACATTTATTATGCTGCCGAGGAAAACGGCCCGCTCCCATTAAAGTGGGGTACATAATCCTGCCGATGTGAAAGACCAGATCTCATCATAATGTGCGCACTGCCGAGGTCGAACGACACAAACCATAGATGTATTATACTGTCGAGGCGAACAGGCCGATCCCATTAGAATAAGAAGCTTTAGCGGGTCCTTGACCCCACTCAGGAATAACCGTGTGAGTTATGGACTTTACGAAAGCTTTTCGATAAAATGCACAACACGGGAGAAATTCGTAAGAGGAGTTCAATTATTCTGTGGCTAGCCATGAATCCCGTCAAATCTCTACAACAGCAAGTTTATCACTCTACGCAAGTCTAGTCTCAAATCGTAATACGAAATAAAGGAATTAAATGAGCGAAGATAACTCTTACAGTACAATTATAGCATGGCGTAAACCTAAGTCTACCTGGACGATAACAAGAGTTTAGCTACGTACGGACTCTCGTTACCTCGTACGTACGTAGCCCCCGCAACAAGTAGCACATATCAAATACATCACCTAGGGGTAGTTTTCCCCTCACAAAGTTAGACATGAGGCTTACCTTGCTCCGAAGTTCCATAACCGGCTCCGATTCCACTCTAATTCCTCAAACTGATACACATCGCTCCAAAACTAGTCAAACAATGCACAAATAATTAAAAATATGCTCTAATAATCATAATAAATTAATTCATAATAATTTCCAACTCCGCTCGAAAAGTCAATAAAGTCAACTCTCGGGGCCACGTGCCCGAATTCCAAAAAATTTCGAAGATAATATTACCCATAATATTATGAACTCAAATATATAATTTATTCTCAATTCCATGTCCAATTTCGTGGTCAAAACCCAAAAATACCAAATTCTAGGTTTTCTTCAAAATCTCATAATTTCCACCAATTTTTATGTTCAAATCCATGTATTTAACTCACAATGTGAAGAAATCACTTACCTAGTCATGGGTGACTAAGAAACGCCTTAAAAAATCGCCCCAAGTTCAGCTCCCATGGAAGATTTGAGATAAAATAAGCCAAAACTCATTTTTGCAAACTTATACACTGCCCAGGCTACTTTCATCACGAAGGCGGCACTGCCCTCGCATTCGCGAAGCTCAACAAACTTTAGGCCCAGAATTCCTTCTCCGCGTACGCGGCAAGTCCCTCGTGTTCGCGAAGTACAACTTGTTTCATCCCCCAGTTCCTCTACGCGAATGCGTGACAGGGCCCGTGAACGTGAAGCTCTGCCAGCCAGCCCTTCGCGAACGTGTATGCCCAATCGCGAACGCATAGAGCAAAAAGGCCCAGTCCAAACTTCCTTCTTCGCGAACACGTGAGGCCCTTTGCGTTCGCGAAGAACAAAACCAGCACCAGCATCTCAACCAAAATTGGTCTGAAATCACCCCGAAACACACCCGAGGCCCCCGGGACCCCGTCCAATCACACCAACCAGTCCCAAAATATGAAACGAACCTGCTCGAAGCCTCAAATCACACCAAACAACATCAAAACTACGAATCAACGATCAAAATCCTTCTTTAACTTTAAAACTTCCAAACTTCGACGAACACGTCCGAATCATATTAAAACATTTCGGAATGATGCCAAACTTTGTGTGCACGTCACAATTCATGATACGAATCTATTCCAAGGCTCAGAACTCCAAACGGACATCGATAACACAAAAATACACTTCAAACCAAACTTATGAAGTTCTAACACTTTCAAAATACCAATCTTCCATAATGAGCGCCGAAATGCTCTCGGGCGACCCGGTACTCAACCCGAACATATGCCCAAGTCCGAAATTATTATGCGAACCTATTGGAACCTTCAAATTCCGATTCCGAGGTCGTTTAATCAAAAGTCAAACCTTGGTCAACTTTTCCAACTTAAAGAATCAACTCCGAACTTCCCGAAATTCAATTCCGACCATGCGTACAAGTCATAAAACATGAAGTGAAGCTACTCAAGGCCTCAAACCGCCGAACGACACGCTGAAGCTTAAAACGACCGGTTCTACAAGTGAAACCTCTCTATCCATCTCAATTATGTATTTTGGTGACATATATTTGATGCTTAATTTGCCAATATTTTGTATTCAAATAAAGATTTCTTTATTTGACTCTTGTTGCCATAAAATCACAATTTAAACTGCAATATTATGAATCGAATCACAATAACCTTCTACTATTACAATTTCATTAAATCTTTCATATATATTCTCTGTTAATTATGTAAAAATGTTAAAAAAGAANGGGGGTTGCGACAAAGAAAGAAAGCACTAGGCAATCACGATAATTTAGAGTTTTAGTCATGAGAATTAAGTACTACTTATAAATGTAGTATTTTATCTCTTTAACATATTATCCTGATACAAATGCATGTTCAAATTAATTGAGTAAGCAAATTTTGAATGTCATCGAATGCTAAAGAATAAAGAAAAACATAAAAGAAGGTAAGAGGAGATAAGAGAGCGAGGGTTACGTTGTTCAAGTAGCGCTAATAATTAGCATTCTTCACCTTCAACCCTAAAGTTGTGGGTTGAGTCACCAAGTGCAGAGTTTGGAAGCAACAGCGGAGCCAAAAGAACTGCCATTCCACGTATGGAATGGAGTCGCATGATTTTGATTCATTTATGTTACTTATTAGAGCTGTAAAATGGGTTTAGCCTGTGAGACCAGCCCAATCTAGCTCGCTAGTTAGGTAGGTTGGGCTAGGATTTTTAAGTCCATTTAAAATTGATGCTTATAAACCCGGCCCATGTCAGCCCGCTGGCCCCTTGAGGCTTGATCGAGGTTGGGTCTGGGCCAGCCCGTGGGCTAAAAATTAATAAATTAATTAACTATTTAATATTTAAAGATGTAAAGACTAAAAAAACTATTAATTATAATCCCCATTTCTCAACCCTAGATTGCTCATTTACCCTTTCATATTAACTAGAATTTACATTTTTGACATGCATGTAATATGGCAAAATTAGTTTTTCTTTTGCTTAATTAATAACGAACTCGAAAAGTTTTACTTGGCCAATAGTAATCAATTTTCAAAAGAAAATATTACTTTAAGTGGCCAATGATCAGTTTGGATTACTTTAATATATATACGATTAATATGTAAATTGCTCTTTAGTATAGAGAAAGATCATTTTTGAATACACACAAAAAAAAAAATTGACCACTAGCAAATTTCAGAAATTTTTAAAAATTTATGGTCTATAATGATGAAATCAGCAAATGATAAGCATTTAAACTTATTGAAGCAATCCTTGAATCTGAGGAAAATGAAAGAAAAGCATTAAGAAAATATTCATGTAACTTTAAAAAAGAAGAATTAGAAATATAGAGAATTTGCATTTCAATTACGAGACTCCTCATCAATATCAAGTTTTTTTTACGCTCTAAGCAAACAGAATTTATTTACATGATTAATCGACTATGTCACGAAAAAACATTTAAAGAAATTCTTTTTTCTTAAAAATAATTGAAGGGCCGGCCCGACCTAGCCCGTGGCCCTCTTAGGGATGGGTTGGGCTGAGCATTTAAAGGCCCGTTCATGCAATGGGCCGGCCCGTCCAAGCCCTCCAAATTTAAAAACCCGCAAAACTTGGACTGGGCTGACCCGTTTTGACAACTCTATTACTTATTATATGCCATATGGTTGGTCATGACTCAGATTTCTGAATTTCTACCACGTGTCATAATTTCAACGTACTAAAAATGATTTTTTTTATGATTAATTACATAATACATTGAAATAATTCTTAAACAAATTTTTGTTCTGAATTAGAAACTGCACTATATATAAGAATTGTCATCCAACTAGAGTAAAGATATACATATATAAAGACATCGCATTGATGTTTATTTTGTTACATCAAATTTCGTTCACCGCGGAAATTAGCAAATAAACTTGGAAAGTACTATGATCGATTAATGCCCCCAAGTAAAGAAATTAAAGAAAGAGAGAAGAAAGCTAATCAACAAGTCTGAGTTTAATTAGAAAGCTAATCAACAAGTCTGAGTTTAATTAATTGACTAATGTGGCAAACTAATGTTATCATCATCAAGATCATCTAGTGAAAGGAATACTTCATCCAAACATGAAAGCTCCGCGCTATCATTTTCGTCATTGTCAGAGTTGCTTTCGTATACACGACAAATTACCCATTTACTATAGTACCCCTGAAGAAAAGCAACAAACACAAAAATAAGAATTTAACTTATAAGTATACATTTATAATACACTGATTTTTTTAGTATCATTTAATCTGTTATAATAGATTATCTGCTTAAATTTAAGGTAACTAGTTCCAACCATTTATTAATAGTTACCTACAGTTACTCTCGCTAATCGGCCATTTTAAAGGTCTTTTTAACCTAGCTTTTACATTTGGTCTAAAATAGATGTCATCTTAACATAAATATCAAGAAGACATTATTTTTTCCTTTCAGATTTACCCTTATTTTGATAAATGATCGGTATAACTTTCTGAAAATTCTTCTCATGTTTGAAGAGAAATAAATGGTAATTTTGTCAAATAATTTCTTATAATTAATGTTATTAACTAATTTTCTTAAAAGGCATGTTAAAACGTTAAAATGGACGGGAGTGAGTATCTTTTACGTGAGTTGCTATATAAAATTTTTAATACTTATATATCGTCTATAGAAATTAAACTCCAAAAATAATTAAATTTCATGAGCCACATTATTATTTAGTATGTCAAAGGGGACATACATTTGTGGAATGAGTTGTTGATGTTCTAGAGGATGATCTAGTTGCTGAAGCTGAAGAATGAGAAAGCCTGTATTCCTGCATTAGCCAATTGGTTTTATGGCCTTGTGGTGGCTCATCACCCATGTAAAATGCATAGTATTTCTTCGTCCCAATAACTTTGTGATTGGAACTTGACATTATTGATTCATCAACTCCTACAGGTTGCCAGTATCCATTCCCTGTGATTCTGGTCTCATTTGTTGCCCTACTATAGAAATACCATTTGTTTCCTTCTGCCATTGCTTTTCCTGCCAACACCATATCATGCATGAAAATTAAAATTATAAGAGTTTTAACTTGTATAAGGTAAATTATTTGCTAACAGGTTACGGTGAAAAATACTCTAATAGACGTGACAGTGTTAAACAATATTTTTTCGCAGGCACGTGTATACAAGCGTGCGCGCGCACATATATATATATATATATATATCCAATTAAAAACAAGTGTAGGAAGTATTTACCATCCAAATCCCAAGGATCATAGGGATAAAGATGAAGATCGGGAATGACATCAGGATGGCAAGGTAAGAGAGAAGCTTTGCGTTGGAGAAAATGAACAACCAGCTCCTCATCTGTTGGGCTGAACCTAAAGCCAGGTGGTAGGTTTACATTATTATCCCCCATTAATTCAACTATATATGCAACTCAATTAGTACGACGTTCGTGCTCGTCTTGGACTTGGCCGTGCCCTTTGGATTGGTCAGGCTCATGGGGCGCTGACGTCAAGAGGAAGTACTATTAGAAAATTAGAAAGAATGAAAGATTGATGTATATATATCTATGCAAATATATATGATGCAGGAAGAATACAAGAATAGTAGAAGGATATATATTGGAATATATGTCTAATAATGATAGGATTAACTGAGGACAAAGGAATGATTTTATAGTGAGATAATGGGAGGACAGAGAAAGAAGAGACTATTGACGTGAGAAAGAAGGTAAAGTTTAGGATCATCAACACCACCACCACCATACTGACCTCATTTCTCAAATTTCACGCACTCTCTCCATTATATTTTCTGCTAGCTTCAATGCAGGGTTTGCTTCGCTTTTGTTTACTTAAATGGTTATCGTTGGCTGGTGGCTATCTAAAGGTGAGGGGTGATATACCTTTTATATTAGGAGCACGGGTGTTAGGATTGAAATAATCTCGTGTCATGCAGAACTTAGTAAAGCAAACCTTGAACAACGATAAATCTGACAACAAAAGAGAAATATTACAAAAGAGACACAAATATTTAACGTGGTTCGGTCAATTGACCTACGTCCACTGCGGAGATGAGCCAATCCATTATATAAAAGAGAGTACAAAATATCAAGAGAACAACCTCAGGAAGAGGCAAACATAAGTGGCATACTAACACTTGTCCTGTAAAGTTCTCTCCCTAAATACGACTCTGAAACCCCATATGGCTACATTAATTGTGGATGCTGATGAATAAGAAGAAGCCCTCAATTTATAAAAGTACAAACATTTTCCTACAAGAAAAAGGACTAGCAAAACACGGAAGAATTATATTTTCCTTCTAGGAAAAAAAAATTCAATTATAGTAAACATGTTGCCCTATCCTTCAACAGATAGAAAAAACAAATATGGCAAGAAAATTGTGGCAAACACCTAACAATTCTCCCCCCTTGGCTTGAATTTTCTGACAAAATAAACTTGATCCACCTTCTTCTCATAATCTTCAACAAATCGCATCTCCAAATCTCCACCGCGAAGTTTGTCTCAACGTGAGTAGTACTCTGGTCAAATTTCTCATACAAAAATCATAATTATCGTCAATAGGTTATGGCTAGAACTAAACCAGGCAAGATAAACTTGTCTTGAACCTCGATCTGATACCACTTGTTAGGATCGAAATAATTAGGTATCATGCAAAAGTTAGTAAAGCAAACCTTGAACAACAATAAAATTTGTTGGGCACATGCCCATGTTGTCTAGCCAAATGTACAATGGCCTAATCCTATTCTCTTTTGGTTTCCATTCCTATTCGGAATTGAATTCGGTTTTTATTCATAATTAAAGTTGGTTTTGGCTTTAAGAGAAAGCAGTAGTCATTATCTATAAATAGGACAAACTTGGAGAATTATTCTATGCTCATTAGTACAAGTCTTTGAAAGACTTAAGCACATAAGAGTGGTTTTTGAGAGAGCATTCATCAATAGAGAAGAGAGAAGAAAAGTATTTGTTTTGCTGCAAATTCTGATTCCGACCAGCCAACTTCAAATCACGTTTTCCGATTCGCTAACTATTGGATCGGGCTGAAATTTTGACTGAGTGTTCGTAACATCTTGGTATTGGAATGGTGAAGATCGTATTTTGAGACTCGTAGCATCTGATTTCGAGTCCCGAATAGTAGCTATAGTCTTGTGACTTCTCCTCATTCTTCAATTGATTTGTCGTTGCTCATGTTGTTGTTGTTGTTTTGTGTTTTGCACTTGTTGTGTAGCCAAATTGGAGAATATTTGTAACCCTCTTATTGTTATAATGGAACTTTTTAGATCTTTGTGATCCCGTAGTTTTTACCTTCGATTTGAAGGATTTTCCACGTTAATATGAGCAATATGGTATGTTTAAATGGGAGAAATCATAATGTTTAGAGAAGCAAGATGAAAGATTTGTTATTCGTAAAGAAGATGTATCTACCCATTTTTGCAACTCATAAACCCAAGAGTATATCTGATGAAGATTGGGATTGCGAGCACCAACAAGTATGTGGATATATATGACAATGGGATGAAGACAATCTTCGCAACCATATTGTGAATAAGACACATGCGAGACGTTCTGGAAAAAGCTTGAGACTCTTTATGCTTCAAAAACTAGGAACAACAAGTTATTCCTACTAAAGCAATTGATGACCTTTAAATACAAGGAGGGCAGTCCTATCCTTGATCATATAAATAATTTTCAGGGTGTCTTTGATCAGCTGTCTGGATTGGGAGTTAATTTTGATGATGAGATACAAGGACTTTGGCTTCTTAATACTCTGCCAGACTCTTGGGAAACTCATTGTGTTTATTTAACAAATTCAGCTCCTGGAGGTAAGGTGACCATGGAATATGCCAAGAGTAGTGTATTGAACGAGGAAGTAAGGAGAAAATCTCAGGATTCGTCCTCACAAGTAGATATCTTGGTTACAGAAGACCGGGGAAGAGATAGAACAAGAGGTTCGAAGAATAGAGGTAAAAGAAGAAGTAAGTCAAGGTCCAAATACCATAATATTACATGCAACCACTGTGGCAAGAAAGGACATATCAAAAGGTTTTGCCACAAGTTGAAGCAAGACATTAGATAAGGAAAGAAAGTTGAAAATAATGAAAACAATGTTGTTGCTATTGTTCGAGATGACCTTCTTTTTGCGTATGATGAAAACATCATCAATTTGGTATCCCATGAGACGAGCTGGATAGTAGATTCTTGAACTACCTCACATGTCACACGAAGAAATGACTTTTTCTCATCTTATACTCCTATTGATTTTGGAGTATTAAAGATGGGCAATGCCAGTGAAGTTAAGGTGTTTGGTGTTGGCATAGTTTATTTGAAAACTAATAATAGTTCAACGTTAGTTCTTCAAAATGTCAAGCATGCTCCAGACCTTTTTTTCAATTTGATCTCCGCAGGAAAATTAGATGATGAAGGTTACCATAATACCCTCTTTAATGGCCAATGGAAGCTCACCAAGTGTTCATTAGTGTCACGTCCCAAAAATCGTGGAACGCGACCTGCGCTCAACCGAGTAAACCCGACTGAGCAAGCCTGTTAGATTTCATTATACCCAAGCTAGTTCATGAATAAAGAGGGAATGTTGTCCAATTTATCAAAACACTAAGCAATCTTCCATTAGCAACTTTCATTTCATTTCCGTTAATGACTTCATTCATAGTTTACAAAATATTACAAGTTTACAAGTTAATGGAAAACATGCTTATCAAGTACCAACTTTTCTAGTCTGGACTCTCAACATCAACCACCACCCACAAACAGTCTATAGAACCTCTAAATATAATAGAAGAGTAATAGGGAAATGCCGGCAACAAGGCTCCGGCTATACCTCAAAACGTGATGAGAAAATGAACAAAAGATACATGACATGACCCCGGGATGGAGTGGGACTCACCAAGACTTCTGGGAAGAGAGTACCGCTATCATTAGCCAATGCCGCTCGCTGTAGAATCACCTATATCATTAAAAGATACAGCGCCTCCGGTAAAAGGGAAGTTAGCACCGTCGAATAGCACTAGTATGTAAGGCTAAAAGTCCTCTTTGAGAACAGAATAACTATACAAGCAAAGAAACCACAAAACAGTAAGTCAAAAGCAACAATACACTAGCATCCAATTTGAAACATGTAAGTCCTCTAGTTTACGAAAATAATATATATAATTTTTGGTTGGGAGATCATTAGCACTGATATGAATTATACCACCGTCTTTGTTAGCACGGAGTCCGATCACAACCCGATCGGCTAGGTTGTCCCTTTGGAGACATATACCACAATCACGATTTCCAGTTTTGAATTCCCAGTTTTGATTCCCAGCACAATACCACCATGTGTGCGGCATGGCATCCGATCAAGGCCCGATTGACTAGGCTGCCTTCCCACATATGTCGTGTGGGTTGGCGTTACCAATTTACAAATGTTACCAAGTTCATCCCAATTAAGGGGAATAACCCCGATCCATCCCTACACCAGCACGTGTAGTTTCAGGTGTGAGCCTTATGACCCACCCTTCCTCGGTTTTGCTAATGATACTCCCAAAAATATTTTTGATTTGATTTGATATTGCACACAATTGTAGTATAAATACAAGTATACAAATATAGCATAAACACCCATGCTTACCTCAATACCTTTCACATTTTATAGTTTTATTAATGTATTCAATCTCTCTCGATATCAGTATTTCTTTGGCCCTTTGGGCCTTTCACAAGATTCATCTTTTTCATGGCACGAAGGCCGCATTTGGTTTTCCACATTTCCATCTCCTTTAATTCCAAGGATCACCAACCAATATCAATGTACCGAATATTTCGGGAATCATATATTTTCGAGTCAATAGTGATAAAATCATCAAACACAAAGGATTCTTTCCAAAGGGGAACATGCCAACCAACAATTGAAATATACATTGAAGTCATAAGCAAGCAATCACCTCAACTATCCTTGAATTATCCCTTTTTCCATCGTGAAAAATGCACAATTTCAACATCGGAATGTGTAAGGACTAACATTACATTGAATGTATTTATAAGGCAAAGCATTATCTAAAACAGCCACTTATGGGCATAGTTCAGGTACAAGGCCTTTAGGCCATTCTATTTTTAAAGTTAGTTCATAAGAGATGAGTCGAGGCTTATTACCTAACTTGTTTCACATTTTCTCATTCGATTTATTTCCAAACATTTTTACAGTTTATCAACAAATAGTCACATTCAACCAAGGCATTTAGTATATATAAGAGCAACTAGGAGCATTAAACAGATCGAATTCTTCTCACATGATTAGTATACTAACCTTCATTTAAATTTTGACTCAAGGCTATACCATTTTGGTAGACAAACCACACTTAAACTTACAAAACAATATGGAATTCATTTTCGAGAGAGAAAGTTTAGCCTACATACCTCGATTGAGCTTTCCTTAAGTCCTACTATACTCAGTGACTCTTAGCAATGTCAATCTCTTAGGAACATGACAAATCG